AATGTTAGATCTTTTTTGTGAAGTCCCACAGGTCCCTGGGTCTCTGTTCTTTTTCTTTTGTTCTTTTGTGTTTTTTTTTTTTTTTTTTTTTTTTTTTTTTTTTTTGATTCAATTTTCCCTGTGTTGTTCATACTGGATAATTTGTATTATTCTGTCTTTAAGTTCACCCATGACTTCCTGTGTTTCCTCCATTTTGCTATTGAGCCCATCCACTGAGCTTTTTATTTTCATTGTTATTTCATTTTCACTCCTTTATATCTTCCGTTTCTTTGCTGAGACTTTCTGTTTCTTTGATGAGGTTTCTGTCCTGTCGTTTTGTTCCAAGTATGTTTATAATTGCTTATTGAAGCGTTTTTATCAGGGTTGTTTAAAATCTTTGTCAGATAATTCTAACCTCTCTGTCATCTCGGTGTGGGCATTTATTGACTGTCTTTAAACATTCTTAGGAACTTCCTGGTTCTTGGTATAATGAGTGATTTTTGTTTGAAACCTGGACAGTTGGGTATTAGGTTTTGAGACTCTAGATGTTACTAGACCTAGAGCCAGCTTTTAGCCAGCTTTCTTCGACCCTGCTATGGCCAGGGAAGAGGAGGGGAGATGCCACCTAATTATTGCCAGGTGGAGATAGAAGTCTTCTTCCCTCGGCCTCCTCATTCCAGCTGGGGAGCGGTGGATGTTGTGGCTCTTCGCATGGTCTCCAGTGACACTGTGATGAATGTGGCCTTATTGCTGGTGGGTTACGGTGAAAGTCCTGACTCCCCACTAGACCTCTACTGATACCAACCACCCCAGCAGGTAAGGCAGAGATGGAAGTCTGGGCTCTCCATGTGGTCTCCACTGACACCATGGAGGTGGGAGAACTTGTCATCAGGTGGTGGCTCCCGACTTGGCTTTCTCTGATATCACACAACTGGGGCGTTGGAGCACTTTGTAACGGCCTCACATGAGTGGAAGTCTGGGCTCCCCACTTGGTCTTTTTGGAGTGGGTAGGGCCAGTGTTTTTTTCCCGTGGTGTTCGGCTGGTGTTGAGTGATTACTGTCTAACGTTTTTCGGTCTTACTAGGTTTCCTCTTTTCTCATCCTTTGACGAGAGAGCGCTGACTTGTTGGGGCTTTCTTTGGTCTGTGCCCATTAATGGCTCCAGATTGCTGGCTTCCTCAGCGCGAAGTCTGGGATACATAAGGCAAGAAGAAAACCCAGGGAATTCGCCGCCGTGTTGTTCTTTATGTCCAGAACTCCTTAGCTGGTCTGACTTCTCCTCTCCACCTTGTTAGAATCTTCTCATTTTGTATGTTATGTCCTGAGTTTTTAGTTGTACTTATCATGAGGCATAGGAAAGGTATGTCTACTCATTTTCCCAGGAGTGGAAGTTGCCTCTGTTATTGTAAGTTAACAGCAGATCTGGGGCATCATTTCCTATTAGTACGTGTATTGCATACTTAATCTTTTGTTTAAATTATGCATTGTATTTCATTTTATGAATGTGCCATGATTTTTTTACCAGTCCCCTGCTGATGGACGTTTCGGTTCTTTTTAATCTTTTGCTCTTTTACAAGCAGTGCTTTAGCGAATAACTCCATGTATATGCATCGGTTTGCATGTGTTCCAGCGTAGCTAAAAGATAACTTCCTGTCTTATCATCTGGATCTTCTTAGACGAGATAGAAGAGTCAGTGTCTCCTAAAGTAAATCAGGAGAATTTCATTTTAGACAGATATCCTTGTGAAAAAGTCACTCCTTGTGCGATGTGTGCTTAGAGCTACTTTCCCACAGTTGACACACTGATTCTAGTTCTGAGCTGGTGATGGACACAGGACAGAGGCAGCTCCTTTTCCTTACGGCAGCCCTCAGATATTCAAAGCTGAGTGTCTCTGGGACCTTCATCTTCTGTGCTTCAGCCTAAAAACTTTGTGTCATTTTAGCCATTTGGCTGTGGTATGATACTCTGAGTGAGACGTGGTTTGTTGAAGATGGTTTTTTTTTTTTTTTTTTT